CTAAACATAACTTTTTTAATCAGACTAAAATAATTAAAAAAATTAAGGGTAAATTACACTGAAACCTTCATGAAGTTTCTGTTTAATAAAGATTCTCCCTTTACATTTGAAAAATTACATTTCCTTCCCTAAGGTTTGTAATCTCATTACAAATTGTCCCATGAATAACTGATGTCACGTTCTAAAATTTGTAAAAGTAAATTACACTGACATCTCATGAGATTTTTGACAAATACAGAGATCTTTTCTGTGATTTCAATAATTATAGAAACCTTTCCTATTTTAACTGACAATATCAAGATTCTCCAAATCCGTCAATTTTTGCATAAACGACATTACTTGCCTGTACAAAATGAACATATTACCCTTTCATTTGAGCGCAAAAAGACGAAAATACCCATTGATCTTTTATTAACCTTACAAAGTAGGGGTGGGCGCGGGTCGGTTGGGGCCACGGAACTTCCAATCCGTCATCTGTCCGCCAAATTGGCGGATTAGAGAAAATGAATCTGCATTCGTCCGCCAATCAGACAGATGTGGATTAAGCGGATTGGCGGATAGATGCGAATCGGTTTGGCGGTTTAAAATTTTATAAATTTTCAACATAATTCAACTTGTGCACTTCCTCAAAAAAAAAAAAAAAAGAAGAAGAAGAAAGTATTACAGTCAATGACTTAAAAAAATATTACAATCACTGTATACCTCATCCAAAGAAAGAAAGTTTGAAACTTTAGAATATCACAATTACTACATGCCTCATCCACATATTACAATCACAGCGTGATTCATCCACATAAAGTATTACAATCTGTGGTTCTTAAAATATAAAAATAATTCAAACCACCAAAACTATGAACAGAGCAGTAGTAGAGATTGTATGTCTCTGTATTGTTACATCTATATATGTTTTGAAAATAAAAACCAACCAGCATATATCATATTTTCTATTTATTATTTTTAGAGTTAGATTTAAAAACTAAAAAATATAGATAAATAATACGTTTATTTTTTTCAATTCAAAAAATATATTCAAGTTAAAAACTTTTTTTCAACAAAATATTTAAACTCTTTTTCAATTAAAAACACAAACAAAATATTTAAATAAATTGAAAATACAAAGTCTTATAAATTAATGGGGGTGCTCGCGGTTTGGCGGTTCGGTTGCGGCCAAAGGAATCTCAAATCCGTCATTCGTCCGCCAAATTGGCGGATTGGAGAAAATCAATCTGCAACCATCTGCTCGTCATCACGTATCCGTCCAAATGCGGCGGATCGGTATATCCGCCGCTTACCCCTACTACAAAGTATATATTGATTCTCCCCCTTTCTCCATTACCCTATGTGAAAAAATGAATTTTTTTTGTTCTCTCATATTCGATCGAAATGTAAAAGAGAGAGAGAGAGAGAGAGAGAGATAAGCTCCTTTTCGCCGGCTCCTCTCTTTTCAGCCATTTGTCGTCTACCGTTCGCTACTACCGTCTTTCTTTCTCGTCTTCTTTCTCCACTCACTCTTTACTTCCCGCCGCCTTATTTTCCTTTTCTCCTTCTCCTCCTCTTCTTCTTCTTCTGAAACCCTAACCCTAGATCTATGGTTTTCAAAGCGATGGCGAACGGTGATGGTAGCAGCGTTCGTTTTGGGTTTGTGATGGCTAGTTACGATCTTGGTCATAAGTCATGATTAGGAGAAGAAAAAGAAAAGGAAGGGGAGGAAGAGAGAAATGGAACGAACGGTAGGAGAACAAAAAGAGGAGGAAGAGGTTGACCGGAAATAGAGGGATTCAATGTTAATTGCAAGGCTGCTTGGAACCCCCTATTCGTTCAACTTACTTTGGGAACTGTGCTTTAGGATGTTTCATAGATGCAAATTCAAATGACTTAATAAGAGAAGATGGGGTGGCTATGGCAGCAACAACAATTGGCGAAGCTATAGAGGGTTTGAATGATGGAATTCTAGATGGGGTTGAGTTGGCTAAACTGCCTTTTATGGACATGGATAGGTTATTTAGCATTGCAAGTTCATCTCGCTTTTAGTTGTACAACACTGACTTTGGATGAGGCGGACATCGAAGAAGGTGGAGATGACATCAATTGATAAAAATGGAACATTATCTCTTTTTGATTGCAGGGATGACAATGGTGTGCCTGAGATTGGGATAATGTTGAAGAAAGAGGAAATTGAAGCTTTTGCCTCTCTGGACTTGAGATTGGAAATGGAGAAAGGACAATAGGGCCGTTGGAATCTTAAAACTTTTTTAGTTTATTGGTCTATGTAATGCAAGGCTCAATAAATGGATTTTGAAAAGGTAATATTATTTTTATTGCCTCTGTATCATGCATTCTTTGATTATTTTTTTTAATTTAATTTAGTTTATTTTTTATTTTTTTATGTTAAATCTGGATGGCCTAATAATATGAATTTAAGAAAATTATTTGAAAAATATGTTTATCACTGCATTGTTTTACAAGTAAGATCATAAAAAATTGTGTGATCAAATCCTAATGCTTATATAATGTATGTGTTATGAATCACAGTGAATTGGTGGTGAAGAATTTTGCCAACAATTGCACTTGTTTTATTATTGTGGTTGGTTGTGCTTTATTTGCCAATGGTACATACCTGTGTTGGACTTGGTTTTGGTTTTGGTTGTGGTTGTGGTTGTATTTGTGCTTAATTGTGTTTGTTTGTTTGTTTGTTTTTAAATATTTTTTTATGGCACTAGTTGGTTGTTATTGATATACAATTTTTTTTTTCTTTTTTAAATAGTTAATGTGAATGGTAACATACATGTATTGTGCTTGGTTGTGAACTTGTGTTGTTCGATGTTCAAGTGCCTTTGGTATCAGTATGTATAGATGGACTCAAGACACTTGAAGGCATTACGAGCATTTCAATATTTATTTTTGATGACATCAGTAGCTTCTGTTAGTTGTGTAAATGACAGTTAAAAAATGGAGGAAACTTGATATTGTCAATTAAAGTAAGAGAGGTTTTTGTAATTATTGAAATCACAGGGGAGGTTCCTGTATTTGTTAGAAATCTCAGGGGGTGTCAGTGTAATTTATCCTTTTTAAATGACCATTTTGCCATTTTTCATACCATTTTTTTTTTTTTTTTTTTTTTTTTTTTTTTTTTTTTTTTTTTTTATTTAATAAATAATTTTCTATCATTAAATTTTACCTGAACATATTCTTATTGAGTGATAATATACAAACATAAATTTTATATAGAATTTTCAAATATAATGGTATAACTTAATGGTAATCTTTCACTATAAAATAAAACACTCATAAATATGATTTATATTTACAACAATATTACCGTTACAACATTTTTATAATATTTTTTGTATAAATTTTTATATATGAATATAATTTTTTCAACATTTTTATAATATTTTTTGTATAAATTTTTATATATGAATATAATTTTTTATTTTTATTTCCACTATTATATCTAGATTAGATCAATTTAATTTAGATATATTTAAAAAGTATAAAATTTGTTCAATTTTTTTTTTAAAAAAAAATCCTTTGAATACAACAAAATAAGATATTGTATTTAATTTTTATATTTTTTGTATTTGGTGAATTAAAAAAAAATACAAAATATTATGGCCCTGTTTGGTAGAGTTGTGGGAAAGTGCTTATAGCTTATATCTTAACAGCTTATAGCTTATAACTATGAACATAAGCTGATTTTTGACTTACAAAAAGCTATAAGCTGCATTGTTAAGCTAAACCAAACATATCAAAATAGCTTAAATTAAGCTGAAAGCTGAAATAAGCTAAAAAAAAGCTGTACCAAACAGGGCCTATATATCTAGATTAGGTATATCAAAAAAATAAAAAATAAAATTGTTTAAAATGTTAAAAAAAATTCAATAAAAGTAAAAAAAACAAAAAAATAAATAATTTCAATTTTTTGTGTAAGTTAAACAAAAGAAGATGATTGTTATTTCCTTAAAATGACATGAAGCTTCTCCTGCCTCACTTAAAGAATAAGCTGATTTCTGACTAACAAAAAGCTATAAGCTACATTATTAAGCTAAACCAAACACATCAAAATAGCTTAAATTAAGCCGAAAGCTGAAATAAGCTAAAAAAAAGCTGTACCAAACAGGGTCTATATATCTAGATTAGGTATATCAAAAAAATAAAAAATAAAATTGTTTAAAATGTTAAAAAAAATTCAATAAAAGTAAAAAAAACAAAAAAATAAATAATTTCAATTTTTTGTGTAAGTTAAACAAAAGAAGATGATTGTTATTTCCTTAAAATGACATGAACAAAATTTCTATATTATTTTATATGTCTAAAAGGTAAGGAACAAATATGTCGTCTTAATATGGCAGAGGAATAAGTGTAATTTTTCAAATGTGAGAAAGAGGTCTGTATTAAATAGAAATCTCAAGAAATGTTAGCGTAATTTATTTAAAAATTAAAAAATCAACTAAAATAGTTAATTTTCCAAACGAGCTTGTTTAAGAAGAAGTATGAGCTAAAATAGCCAACTAAAAGATAAAAAGTCAATATGACAAATGTCACATTTAACTAATGATTATTTTATTTTTTCTCTCATAACCATCAAATAAATTATATAGAAAAAAAACTACTCAACTTTTCAAATATAACTATTTTAGTCAAATTAAAATAATAAAAAAAAAGTAAAATTAAATAACCAACTAAACAAGGGTGTTTGGGAAGTGGGTTTCTATGTAGGTTTTTTAGAGGTAGAATATTATTAAATTTTTTTTTTTTTTTTGTGTTTAGAAAGAAAGTTGAGTTTTTTTGTGGTTGGATGTGATATTTGTGAAAGAAAAAGTGAAATAATTATGAAGTTAGACGTGATATTTTGTTTAAATGTATTTTTTTTAGTTTTACAAAATTTTTGTCTATTAGTAGAAAAAATGAAAAAAAACCCAATTACAATTCTTCCCAAACACCACCAAGGCCTCCGTAAATAAATAGCCAACTTTCCAAACCAGCTCTATAAATAAATAAATGCCGCCGCTGCTGCGGCATTTATGCATATACAAAGGAAGAGAGAAAGAAAGAAAGACCAATCTCAAAAAAAGGAAAAGAAAAGAAAAGAAAGAAACCGTGTGTGGTGACGAGAAAGAGGGATCTAGAGAGAGAGACAATGTCAATGGCGAGTGCACCTCCGATGTCAGCTTCTCCTCGTGATGATGCAATGCAATTGCACCGTGCTTTTAAAGGTAATTAACATTTATCCTCTTTTTTTTTGTAGTTTCAACAGATTATACAAGCTCGTCTTCCTCATTTGCTTGTTTAACCATATGTCTATTCATGTGGATATAATAATTCAGTCTAAGATTTTGAATATTTCTTTTAATTATATATATGTACCCTTTTGTAGCCATTCCCTTTGTATCTTCTTTTATTTTATTAACAAAATCTCTACAACTAATCCATTCAATTTTTATTTTTGCTATAAAATTCATATATTATATTATTTGTATATATCAGTTTTTTTTTTTTTTTTTTTTTTTTTTCCTTTGTGATTTCTTTTTTTATTCTCTTGTCTTTCTTCCCTTTGTGATTTCTTTTTTTATTCTCTGGGTCAACAGATGTCTTAATTGCTATGCTTTTCTTTTTTGAACAAGCATAAAAAAAAAACTTTGCTTGCAGTTTGATTTCATGCAACAAACTTTGTTTGCATTACCTTAGTTAGCAACTTTGCAATGTTAAACTAACTGAACCAAATCAATCAATCTAAACTAAACATTTTGTCCCAAATTGATCAGTCTCAATAATTTGACGTAGTATTATCCCTGGGCCAAAATCCTGATTCCGCCGCTAATTTTCCTTAATATTGACCACCAGCTTTTGATTCGGCTTATCCATCCCCATGTTATATTTGTATGTTTTCCTTGTTTTTGTGTGCTGTTTACAAGGTTAATCTTTTTTAATGTCTATGAAATTTGTAGTTTTAATTAGGAAATGGCAGATGCTAACAGGTGTCCTTAGGACATTGTCTAGGCTAGGCATGCAACCTCCATTAGTCCTATGAGGACATCGTTGTGCCTTGTAAGTTTGCCATGCGGGTAAGATATTGATAATGGGGCGCCAATGGGCTCACCACATGCCGATTGTGGTAGAAGTACTCACACTAATGCCATCCCATACATGTGCTTTATGATCAGTGAAAGTATTTACATATAATTTTAAAGAAGAGTAATGTTATACAAACAAAGAACTCATACATAATTTTCATATATAATAATGTTGCTCATAGTGAATCTTTAATTTCAAAACTAAACACCATTGAAGAAAGATTTATTTAGAATAATGATAATGTCACATCATTTTTGTCAAGTTTTTTGTATGAATTTTGTGTATGTTTAGAATTTTCCTTTTGAAAAATTAGGAAGAAAAGAGAATATGCATAAAAATCTTGATAGCTCGACCGGATGCCAAAGTTTAGACCGTGAGGGGAGGCCTAAGAAAACTTTAAAGAGGCCATTACATTTGAATCAAGACATGGATCTGTTGAGCGGTTGGCTGTTAAGCCGGGAGGGCTACCACTTCGCAAGCAATCCACATTCCCCCAAGGAGGGCTTTATTTTTTATTTTTTTTAGATGGTAAACAACAGAAAGAAACTAAACAATTAGCAAGCAGCAACATCAATCAAGGCCTGTGGGACCTCCTCCATCCACACAAGCTGGTGGTCCAAACTTCTAGCCATCCGAGCTAGGCCATGCGCCAACATATTGCCCATTCTCCCCACATGGCTAGCTTGAAAACGCCAAAGCAATGTACTAGCTAGCACCCACCACTTGTGACACAATATGACCATATTTCGATTAGAGCTCGACACCCTCCCACAAAGCTTTGACAATATTTAAAGAATACCCCTCTAGAATAATATCAGAAAAACCCAAATCCCTCTCTAGCTCAATTGCCTTGGCTGCTGCAAATGCTTCAGCACAGAGGGACCTTTATTTTAAGAAGTCTCAATATATACAAATTTTCTTTTTCTTCTGTAGATTCAATGAGGTATCATGTTGTATAATTATGCTTTTTACAAATATTGATCTTGTTTCCTCTGCTTATAAATGAGGAGCTTTTGAAGATGCTCAAATCATATTGGGTACCTACCTTTCTTTGAAGGCATTGCAATATCTGACTAAGGCTATGTTTGGTTCAATGATTTAGGGAGGGATTTGGAAAATGAGAGGGAAAAAATAGGTGAAATATAAATAAAATATACCTACATTTCACATAATTTCATACACCTTTTCTTTTTCCCTTTTCCTCCCCAAATTTATGAACCAAACACAACCTTATAGAATTTTTCGTAGTTGCCTTATTTTCCTTAGAAAGACAATACTTCATCATATAATTACAGGGTTATGTAGTATATGACTGATTGGATGGTACTTCAATGCAAAAATGTAATCCATACAGAATTCCTAATTCTTTTCATGATGTTTAATCAGGATTTGGCTGTGATGCAACAACAGTAGTAAATATTCTTGCCCAGCGAAATGCAATGCAGCGTCCTCTCATCCAACTAGAATTTAGAACTTTGTATTCTGAAGACCTCAACAAACGTTTGTCTTCAGAGCTTAGCGGCGATGTTAAGGTTTAAGAGGGACCACTTTTTCTTCATTTCCTTCAACAAAATTATTTAATTTTCCAATCCATAGGGAAGCTAGACATGGCTCAAATTTAAAATCTGTACTAGTGGAAACATTATATATATGACATAGTGTGTTTCTATGTATAGTTGTTTTCTAGAGCTAAAACTAGTATTTTTGTTTTCTAATGGTTTTAGAAAGCAGTCTTGCTTTGGATGCAAGATCCAGCAGGACGTGATGCAACCGTTGTGAGACAAGCTTTAAGTGGAAATAAAGTCAATGTCAGAGTTGCTACTGAAGTAATATGTTCTCGGACTTCACACCAGATACAACAATTCAAGCAAGCGTATCTTGCGATATTTGGTGCTTATCTGGAGCATGATATTGAACATCAAGCTTCTGGTGATCATAAAAAGGTTTGAAGCTTGCTGCTAGCTCTAGAACACATGCATAGATGAGCAAAAGCATGCGTTTTGTCATAATTTATGCAAGCCATGCTTGTGTCACAGATGTCATGGTGGACTCTAAGACTTCATTTGCATTGTAGGTTTGAAATAATTGTTGCAATTGTGTTTTGAAAGTGTTCATTGTATGCTTGAATTGTAACAGAAATATGTATAATATCTGCACTTTTTATTATTTTATTTTTACAAAAAAAAAAAAAAAAATGGTTGCGTACTTGGGGATGTGTCCATCTTATCTTCAGGATTGTTTCCCAATGCTCTTATTTAAGTGTTAATTGAGCATAAAAGAAGTGTCCACAGTTACAAGATTTATTTTAAAGTATGGACTTGTCCAAGAAGTGTTGGACACATGTCTAGAACTGGCCAAGAAATGTCGATGTCCAATATTTGACATGAATTTAACTCCTTTATAAAGTGTGTGCTATTTAGTTTGGGGATCCTGAAGATAGGTTTAGGTCATCAAACTCGATTTCTAAGCCTCGAAACTTTCGTAGAATAATGATCTTTTCTTAGATTTGTAGGCTCACGTGTGTGTTGGAGCTTCAAGGGACCATAATGATACATCTTAGATTGACTTGTGAGCCATGAATCTGTATAACCCTGCTCAAACTGATATCCTCAGTCAGTTGATATTCTTTTGGAACTTCCTCACTAGAACTTGTGAACATGCTCAAACTGTTCAATCCAAATTGAAATATTTATATTTTGACATTTAGAGATAAACATGATTCACCAATATCTTAGAATTAGTTTATTAACTTAAATTGCTTTTGCAGATGCTGCTTGCATATGTAGCTATGCCACGCTATGAAGGCCCAGAAATTGATACAATGATTGTAGAGAATGACGCCAAAGCTCTGTATAAAGCTGGGGAGAAGAGGATAGGAACTGATGAGAAGACTTTCATACGCATTTTCAGTGAAAGAAGTAGGGCACATTTGGCTGCTGTTAATTCCGCATACCACAAGATGTATGGACATTCATTGGAAAAGGTGCATCTTTATTATGCAGCCATATGTTTACTTCAGTGTCTTTAAAATACATGTGTTTTCTTGTTTTCTTCTTCGTTTTTGGTTATCCTTCAACATTATGTTTAAACATGCACAAACTTATTGCAGGCAATAAAGAAGGAAACATCTGGGAACTTCACATATGCCCTTTTGACAATCTTGCAGTGTGTTGAGAATCCTGGGACGTTCTTTGCAAAGGTTAGTATTTATCATATTTCCCCTTCTAAAATCATGTATTCCCATAAAAATGTACAATTTTCTCAAAGATGTGAATGCTTAAAGAATTTGTAATATACTGAATTTTTACAAGATTAATTTTCTTTTACTTTTACTCATCTTTTCTACTTCTTTCTCTTCATATGATAATTTCTATAGATTTATTTGTTTCTACTGTCTCTGCGCAATATGTGTTGCATTGTATTTATATTTGCTTTGATCATGACAGCTTATTGAGCTCTTCAATCAGTCTAGAACTGTAGTGGTTATTTTTTGATGTATAAATTGTGTACTTAAACAAAATAAATAGATTCATATTGAGCAACCACTTTGAATTTCAGAATAATAACATGCTGGAATTTACAAAAATTTAAAATAAAATAAAATTAGAAAAAGGAAGCAGATCGAAACCTGTGTGATACCATAGTATCCTTAAAACAGATTAGCCGCCTCACCGTGGGTGTTGGAGGAACGTCGACTTCTATTTTCTAGGATACGATGGTTTAGTCTGGCTAACGCAAAAGCACCATCTGTTAGTTTTGGCGAACCGACAATGGCAATACTCTCTCACGCAGGAAGAAAATTATAGGAGGAAACTGACTCTAATCTGAGAGTAAAATTCTTTTTTAACCTAAGGGAGATGGGCCTCCTTTTATACACAATGGGGGAGAGGAGAAACCTTCTAGCTATGAAGGCTGGCAACTAATGCTCATGAAGGCTAGCAATAAATGCTTATTACTCCTAGAGTAATGGACTAATTGATCAGGATTCAATGTGTGAGTTACACAAACTATAATATACATATCTGTATATCTGTAGCAGATCTGACCCAAAAGATTAGGTTGGTGGACCACCAATCTGGCCCAGCCCAAACATAGCTTATTCCAGCAAGCCTTAAGCCTCAAGCCCAAGATCCAAGATCCACGATCCACGAACTCGGACCCAGCCCGGTCCAGGCTAGCAGGCGACGTGCACGCGTGTGGCAATTTTTTCATAACTAATTTGGACTATAGTCTTGGCCCAAGCTCATTCTTGAAGCATCCATAACTCCTTTCTTTCGAAAATTTTGGATGCCCCAAAGGACTCATATCCTTATCAAAATCTTGAGGTTTAAATAATCATCAAAGTTTTCCTCTACAATCAATGTGGGATTGGCATTCATGAGGCCATCTTTATGAGACAATTTCTCATTCAATTCTTAATGGTTTTTGGTCATTCTTTTTGTAGCGTAAAGACCTTGTTTCAAAGAATTTAAACTCATTTAATCTCACATCAACCAATGGTTGGGACCTACTTTAATTTCACATTAAAATCACCATAAAATCATTTTTTCTAACAATCCCCCACATGAATAAAAATTGACCGAATAAAGAAAACGGACAATGTTTACAGCAAAGACTGGAGAAAGAGAGCACACAGACTAACTCTGTATCAGAAAATGTAGTTATTGGCATTGAACTTTTCGTAGTGAAAGCCTATCAGATTTACTAGCTGACCAGTGAACGTGATGTCTTGAACTGTTCTGCCATTTGTGTAAACTGAGACAATAGACCTCACGCAGGAATTAGTCTAACCATTGTTCTTGTTCTCATTTGTGTGTCCAGTATGGCCCTAGAACACTAGCCTGGTTCAATGAGTGGCTTTAAAGAATTCGACCTTACTAATTCTTAAAGAAGTGGCCCCACTTTGCACTCACATAGGTGACCTATATCAGATATCTCATTATACCACGATTGACTATTCATATCACTTAGGTCATTAAAAGCATTGGTTTAACCTTCCAACTCCACAGGGTGTCACTGTACAAAGGAATGGATAAGAGGATTTACCTCTTTAGTGATTCACCCGTTATATGAAATTAAGTTGTCCATTTGAACTTAGATCTTGGGATCTCTAGTTAACTAGGTTGAGTTTTCCGTTCTGATAACATTACTAAAGGACTTAATCCCATTCCTCTTAATGATGTTTCTACTAACTTTCGAGTTAACCCTTTGGTTAGCGAATCCACATTGTTGTCTTTAGACTTTACATAGTCTAGAGAGACAACTCCATTTAGAGAATAGTTGTCGTATGGAATTATGTCTACGACGGATATATCTAGATTTTCTATTATACATATGACTCTGTGCCCGTCCAATCGCCGATTGGCTATCACAATGAATACAGATAGCAGGCACAGGTTTTGGCCAACGTGGAATATCCTCAATGAACTGGCAAAGTTATTCAACTTCTTCAGTTGTTTTATCCAAAGCAATAAACTCAGATTCCATCGTCGATCTCGATATACACGTTTGCTTGGAAGATTTCCAAAACACAGCTACCTCTTCAAGGGTAAACATGAAACCACTAGTGGATTTGGAGTCCTTTATTCTAGATATCCAATTAGCATCACTATACCCTTCTAATACCGCTGGGTATCTGATATAATGCAGCCCATAACCCTGCGTGTAGCGTAGAGAACCTAACACTTGCATACTGCCTCTCTTATGAGTAGTATTAGGGTTACTCGTGTATCTACTAAGCCTACTAACCGAGTTAGCTATATCCGGCCTTGTACAACTTATCAGATATATCAGACTTCCAATGACCCGAGAATATTCTAGCTGAGAGACACTCTCACCATTATTCTTGGTCAAGTGTAGACTCAAGTCTACTGGTGTCCTAGATACACTTGTATCTGATTTACCAAATTTCTCAAATATTTTCTCAGCATAGTGAGATTGAGAAAGTACAATACCATCAGATGTTCTAGTAATCTTAACACCCAAAATTCCATCTGCAAGGCCCATATCTATCATGTCAAACTTAGAGTTTAACAATCTCTTGGTAGTTCTAATCATCTCATCATTACTATCAACAATGAGTATGCCATCAATTTATAGACACAAAATGACAAAACCTTTGTCAATGTCTTTTGACATATACGCACTTGCCACACTCATTGATTTTGAACCCATTTGACAACATAGCATTGTCAAACTTCTCATGCCATTGCTTAGGAGCTTGCTTCAAACCATATAATGATTTGACAAGCTTACAGACTTTCTTATTTTGTCCTGGAGCTGAAAATCCCTTGGGCTTCTTCATGTAGATTTTTTCATCTAAATCTCCATTTAAGAAAGCTGTCTTTACATTCATCTGATGTATTTTCTGACCACGTAAAGCTGCTATCGCAATCACCATGTGAATGGATGTAATCATTGTCACAGGTGAATACGTATCAAAGTAATCCAAACCATCTCGTTGCTTGTATCCTTTCATAACTACCCTATCAATTGACCCATCAGCTTTCATCTTTCTTTTAAAGATCCACTTCTCCCCAAGGCCTTACTGCTTGGGGATACACCAACTAACTCTCTGTAGGACAATCTTCACTGTATTTAAAAAAGATTTAATTCTGTTGTGTACAAAACAACAACAAAATCGATACTCGGGGCCCACCTAAAAATAGACCTAACTTAGGAAAAATTAACCATTTCCAACACTCTCAAGTATGGTTCTGTAAGATGGAGTCAATCTCACTCTTAATTGCTTCTTTCCACAAAGGACTTTCAGATGAAGTCACATCTTCATGGAAAGTTCAAGGTTCTTCTTCTAACAAATAAATTAAGAAGTCTGGGCCAAAGAACTTGCGGTCCTAGCCCTTTTACCCCTTCTTGGCTCATCTATTTCCTTAGCTTGATTATCTACTTGATCATCTATATGATCATTGCCACCTTCAACCTCTTTCATGGAACTCGGAACCCCTTCTTGAATACGATAAGGAAATACATTTTCAAAGAAAGATGCATTTCTGGATTCTATGATAGTATTCTTGTGTATATTTGGAATAGCAGACTTAAACACAAGAAATTGATATGCACTGCTATATTGTGCATAACCATTGAATACAAAGTCAACGGATTTTTAAGCATATCCTAACCCTCTTAGGTTTAGGTAGAATTTATACAAAGGCACCCAAACATATTAGGCATCCAAACATATTTGGCACCCAAAATCATATCATAGTATATACATTCCCAGAATGTCATCAACCAAATTAGGCACCCAAACATATTTGGTCCAACATATCACTCTGAAGCTAATAGTTTTACTATTAGGAAACACAAATCCAGTGTTCAATAGTCTACTGTTCGGAACTTCATAACATGGTCCCTTTCAAATTTCATATAAATCTAATTATCTAATTCCATGATAAACACAAATAATCTGTTTTAAGATTATTGTATAAATTGTGTACTTAAATAAAATAAATAGATTTATATTGAACAACCACTTTGAATTTCAGAACAATAACATGCTAGAATTTACAGAAATTCATAATAAAATAAAATTAGAAAAATGAAGCAAACCGAAGCCTGTGTGATACCACAGTGTCCTTAAAACAGATTAGCCGCCTCACCATGGGTGGTAGAGGAACGTCGACTTCTGTCTCTCAGGATACGACGGTTTAGATCGGCTAATGCAGAAGCACCTTTTGTTAGCTTTGGCGAACCGATAATGGCAGCACTATCTCACACAGGAAGAAAATTATAGGAGGGCACTGACTCTAATTTGAGAGCAAAATTCTTTTTTTAATTGAAGAGAGATGGGCTTCCTTTTATACACAATGGGGGAGAGGAGAAACCTTCCAGCCATGAAGGCTGGCAACTAATGCCCATGAAGGCTAGCAACCAATGCCCATGAAGGCTAGCAACCAATGCTCATTACTCCTAGAGTAATGTACCAATTGATGGGGATTCAATGTGTGTTACACACACTTCACACACTATTATATACATATCTACATATCTGCAGCAGAAGAGAAACCTTCCATCCATGAAGGCTGGCAACTAATGCCCATGAAGGCTAGCAACCAATGCTCATTACTCCTAGAGTAATGTACCAATTGATGGGGATTCAATGTGTGAGTTACATATACGTCACACACTATTTTATACATATCTACATATCTGCAGCAGACCTGGCCCAAAAAGATTAGGTTGATAGACCACCAATCCGGCCCAGCCCAAACCTAACTCAAGCCTAAGATCCAAGGACCCGGCCCAGCCCTGGCGGGCGGTGCGCACGCATGTGGCAATTTTGCCATAATCAACTTGAACCATAATCTTCGCCCAAGCCCATCCTTGAAGCATCCATAACTTCCTTCCTTCGGAAAATTTGGATGTCCCAAAGGGCTCATAACCTTATCAAAATCTTGAGGTTTAAATACCCATCAAAGTTTTCTTCTACAATCAATGTGGGATTGGTAGTTATACACAATTTCCAATACGTCATTCATAAGGCAATTTTATGAGACAATTTCTCATTCAATTCTCAATAGTTTTTGGTTATTCCTTTTCTGGGGTAAAGACCTTGTTTTAAAGAATCTAAACTCATTTAATCTCGCATCAACCAATGATTGGAACCTACTTTAATTTCACATTAAAGTCACCATAAAATCATTTTTTCCAACAATTTTGCCTTTTTTTTTTTAGTAAGTGAAAAGAATTGGCTTAATCACATGTAATTTAATAATCTGCAAATTGTTTACTAATGTTTTAGTAATTTTTAATATCATGCATGTGATATTTCAAAATTCATTCAATAATCAAAAGAAAATATGTTCTCTCACATGCTTTTTCTTTTACATGTAATTTGCAGATTGTTTACATGTAATTCTTTCTCTTTTACATTTAAGCTTTTCCAAAAAAATTTAAAAAAAAAAGAAAAAGAAAAAAAAGAGAGACAATTATGTACATGTAATTAACAACTAAATCTCAACAAATAAATAGATAAAATACGGTGCATAATTTTATAAGAAATTTTAGTTTTTGATTGTGTTTCTGGAATATATTAATGGAAGTAAGCTTTGTGCAATTATAAAACAAACATTTGCAGGGATTGCACAAGGCAATGAAAGGCATGGGAACTGATGAAACATCACTAACAAGGATAATAGTGACAAGGGCTGAAATTGATATGCAGTATATAAAGGCAGAGTACCACAAGAAATATGGGAAATCATTGAATGATGCTGTCCAATCAGAGACATCGGGACCCTACAAGGCCTTTCTTCTCTCTCTCATAGGCCCCAATCATTAGAAAAGAAAAAGAAAGAGAAGGTATTGTTATATCCCAGAAGTGAATAATAACATAAGGTGTGGATCTTGATTATCTTACGATTCGGCCACATTTAGAATAGGTCTACGTTGTGCATTGTTTGGTTAGCAGCTAGAATTTGGACATTTGTTCGACAGTTTTTTCAGGAATGCTGTGTACTGTGTAAGTCACAAGAAATAGCGAACTTGTTGATTTGTTTGATTGAAGATTCTTGGCTACACCCGGCTGGTCTGTCCTACGAATTTTCGTGAAGGTTCCCTGAAGTTTCTTGTGGACCCTGCATGTGTGCATGTTATTTTGTAGTTTCTGTTACTATATATTTGATCTTTGTGTTGTGTTTTTTGTGTGTTTGTGTTTTGGGTTGGTAGGTGCTGATTTCTGATGTAAAATTCGTTGCTACATTGTATTTGTGTTTTTAATATAATGACCATATGTATTCTTTCATTTCTCATCTTTTTCCAATATATTACTCATTCTTTTCTGCACATTTCTACTCCGCGAGTGCCATTGCTACTCCACGAGTTTGTTTTTGCACATTTCGTTTCCATCCTAATATAACAAATTCAAGAGATTCAGTAGATCGTCATGTTTAGTGCAGCTTATGAGGCTGCTAATAGCTTATTCTTTCTTTCTTTTTTGAAATTTGTACGAGGCTATTTAGTGTATGTTTTGCTTATAATTTATAAGATAGAAATAACTTAAATAGTAAGCTAAAAAAGGTTGACTGTTTAAAAGTAGAGAAATTTGTGTTTTTAATTTTTGATTTATCAACTTTCAATTTGAAATAAGTTGTATCAAGCAGGCTTGATAAATAATTATATTAAAAAATTTGTTTGAGAGAGAGAGGGGAATTGTCTAACCAGCTTACATGTCGAATCCACGATTTTGAAGCTCGTGGTATTCTTGGCATAAGGCGCATTTTTCACAACAGAAACTAGACTTCAACAAGTATCGGTGCCTTAGCTTGGATCGATAGCCACAAGAATAGAAGGGTGCACAAACGTGTGCCCAACCATAGAGTAGTAGATAACATGCTCCACTTGCACAACAAGCTGTAAAATAAAAATAAATAAACATGAGACACCAACACTACACCTTAAGCTCACTCTTTGCACTTCTCTATTAACACAAAATTGTTACAATCTAGAAACAAACTTACAAGTTTCACCCTCGTCTACTATTTCAGCAATCCGTCCAAAAGTAATGCATGGACACCAAATTGTCAGACAACCTGTACAAGATTCATCAATTAGAGTAGCATGTTATCTCTCTCTCTCTCTCTCTCTCTCTCTCTTTTTCTTCTTCTTTTTATTTTTATTTTTTAAATTGTTAGAGATATAAACAATTTTATTATTTATATTATATTTTCATTAGTAAACTACCAACCAATTAATTGATGTAAAACAAAACAGAAACATCTGATGATGCTAATGCATAAACACTGCTGGAAATCAGGGTTTTAGAGGCGTTTAAAAAACGCCGCTATAGGTCTTAAAAACGCCGTCAAATCCTTTTGTGACGTTTAGCACCAAACGCTGAAGATGCGGCCGTCGCTACAACACTATAGCGCTTTAAAAACGTCGCCTATTACTATAGGCGACGTTTTTAAAAACGCTGCTAAAAGTTCTATTAACAGTAACGTGACGTCACCATGCTATTTAGCGACATTTTTAAAACGCCATCATATCTCTTTTTCCCGAACAAAAATCCAACCGTTATGCTATTTAGCGACGTTTTTAGAAACGCCGTCATAGTCCCCTTTTTTTTTAAAAAAAAACTGTGCTAATTTTTGTTATTGAACTAAAAAAATACCTGTAATAAAATTAAAAAATAGCACTAATATAAAATAATAACTCCCATTCATATAGTAAAATCTTATCAAATGATAGTCCACAATCATTGTGCAAAAAAAAAACATTCACACACAAATCAAACGGTGTATGTTACACAATTTAGAGAGATTAATAATTCCAAAATTAATAGCTGTATAATGTTAATCTTGTCTAATTTAATTTACTTAGTCAAACAAACATATTCTAAGGTTCTTAACATTCAGTTTATTCATAATGAATTATCATCCACACACACATATATATATATATGAGTAAAAAAGTTCACCAGCTAAACTCAGCTAAACTTAATAAATTTGTTCTAATTACTTGATTTTCTTTTTTAAGAAACAGAAAACTTTAGCGCACAAGGGTCAGATTTACAATTAGCATCTTGATGGCCCTTTACCTATATGCTCTTCAAATTGCTTCACATTTCTCACACCCTAGAAATCTTGTTCATCAGCATTCTTCTTTAGATCTGCCATTTGACGACACTAACAAAAGCAATCTTGCATACCACCACACTTATTCTGGATCAGGAGAACCACTAGGGACAAGCTGCATTATGCACAAAATGTTAGAATTGTAGAATACAAAATCAATAGGACTTGGCTTCTCAAACAAATTGTCCAAGTCTAACACGGCAGTAACAAAAGTTCTGCAATGTCCAAGTCTAATGATTTTTTCAATTGAGAGACAGATTTAAGCGATATTCAATGATAGCCGAAGAGATATCCATGAAATTAACCCAAAATATTATGTTCTAATATAGTGATTTGATGATAGAGACAGAGAGTAAGGTGCATTTCCAAACAGACTGTTTATAAATGAAAGTATTCATTTTCTTGCTAACAATAGATAACTAAAATGATTTGGCACAACGCAAAGTTACCTATTTGATATCATTTTCTTGTTGACAATCGATAACTGAAATAATTTTGCACCACTCAAAGTTACCTATTTGATACCACAGTGAGAGGACCACAATTAAATGACACAAGAAAAGGAAATCCAAGGTAAACAAAGGCAATGACTGTTTTCCACAAGTAATTATTGTAAAATTATAACTTTGAAAGGAAAACTATGAAAAGAACCTATGAATTATAAGTTCTGTCAGGTATAACATGAGGTAATGACTAAAATCCATGTTCTATGCCAACAACCTATGAAAAGAAACATGTAACATTTCAATAATAATGAAAAAACTACAAAAACTAAAGATCACAGTCTAGATAACAAAATTTTGGGAAGTGACTATTATAACATGCTAAATTCACATTCATAGTACGTAGAAAACTGACTGAAATATGGAAAACACAGACACCATGCAAAAGAAATTTAGGGATTCAAACGGCTATTTTGGCAAAAAATCATCACAAGATCTTGAACTTCCATCACAACATAAAAGCAGAATCATAGTACCTTTGAAGCTTGCTGAAATAAGAAGCTGGTTTGCTCCATCCCACTAATCTAGAGAAACGCACGGAAATCAATATTCCAGCATGTATAGAAAACTGTCAGCAGTAATAAAACATATCGTACTAAATAATCCAACGCAACATATGACTAACTAAATCAAGAAAAGCAGTGCTAAAGACTACCCTAAATAAAAGTATAAAGGTAGATGACCGCTAGCCAATAACTCATGAACAATGGCAACTTCATGCACCCTCAAAACTATAAAATGCTTGCATTTAAACTAACACCATTAGAATTGGAATAGATTGTCACACCTGTTGTGTAGGAAGATATTTCCTTCGATAATTGAATATTGCATCCTTCTCGTTTACATCAGCACTGCCATGGAATTGAAGTTCCTCCTGGTCATCAATTTAGTAGAGTCAAATAAAAAGATCCATTGGGTTAGAGTAACAACACTTCTCTGAGAAGTTCCACCTGGTCATCAATTTACTAGACCTTCATAAAGTGCAATTAAATCAAGAATGTGACCATGGTCAAATGTGTATGCATGAGAAGATTACATCAACCCAAAATCTTACAATGCTTTCCTCCTCCCATGGTGCCAGTTCTCGAAGATCAACCCTGCAATTCTTCGTCCTTTGCCCACACCAGCTCCATCTTCGATAAAAAAACTGCCTTGGCACCATCTGGAAGGTGCTGGACATGTCTCTGTCATGGAAACCACTACATTATATCACAAATGATGATGTGCAAAATTAGTATCCAAAGTCCAGTTGTAAAAGCAACCTGACAAGCATAAACCAATGTCTCAATCTGCAAGCATGACAACGCTTGTGAACTTTCTAAGTCATCTTTGATCATAAGATCATAAGTTGAGTCAGGTGGCTGCACTGCGGATAAAGAAGATGTCTCATATAATGAAAATTATAGAAATACTGTATAAATATTCAAATACCTCAATCACACTGATAGAATTCCACATCACCTTAATGTCTTCATATGAAGTTTCAGATATCATTGATAGAATGCAAAGATAAAACAAATTACCTTCTCTGTTAGATATTTGAAAGCCACCTTCTTCTGTCCTGCTTCATATATATTGCATTGTGAATATATCTGAAGCCAAAAAACCATAAACATGTTCATAAGAAGTGGCCAACCATGTATAATATCTTTTAACACCTTAAAATTCAAACTAACAAAAAAGAAAAGAGGAGACAGATGATGAAGAAAGCAGCAGCTAAAAGCATCTTTACCTGTGAGTCTACACTGGCACATACAGCATAAATGCCCCAGTTTCTGGTGTAATTATTATATAAATGTACTTTTCCAAACCTGACACAAGGATGTCGCTGTCGAGTACCATCAAAAAAACAATGGTGAATGGTCACTCAAACACATTTGTCACCAGTGTAAGACGGGTCTGCTCCAATAAGCATTGTCTTGTCATGCTTTGAAAAGTGACATTTGAATACAAAGATTTAATGAGTAAAGACATGGGTAACAATCAACAGTGATTTCCTAGTGTGGTAGATTCAGCTCACCTAGAAATTGTAATATCTGTGCTCTCTCGGGTGATATCTATCAGTCCATCATCATAATCACAGAGGCTGCAATGGTCTATCCATATGTTCTTTGACTTGGGTTTTATCTGAATGCCATCAACATCAGGTCCCATAAATTGAAGTTCTCAACAAATCAATAGGATGTTAAATAAAATAAAAAATAGTTAATGGGAATTACGGTTGACAAAGAAGATAACAAACTACAAAATTCACTTTGACAAGCGCACTAATGACAGGATACAACCAATTCCTACATAAAGATTCATTGAATCAAACAGGATCAGGATGAGAAGGACCAATAAAAAGTTTAGGAGGGCGCTGGACTCAAATCAGAAAAGGAAAAATTAAAAGAATTAAAAGTCATCTGCAATAGTTTCTATCAGTTCAAACCAACAATCAAGGCCGAAACTAATACCCAAGGTAGATCTATTAAGACATTCTAAAAGAGACATAAAACTCAAATAGTCAGTAAATGTTTCTACGGCCGTGCCACCTTCACCATTCTCTCCCTCCAAATACTCAATATAAGGTTAAGAGGATAAATTAAAGAATAATTGCAGTCTATTACAGGATAGAATTATGGTAAGATAAAGAATAATTGTGACCCCTAAGACTCCAGAGTAACAAGTTAA